CGCACACGCACACGCACACGCACACGCACAGCACACGCACACGCACACGCACACGCACACGCACACGCACACGCACACGCACACGCACACGCACACGCACACGCACACGCACCCGCACACGCACACGCACACGCACAAGCACACGCACACGCACACGCACACGCACACGCACACGCACACGCACACGCACACGCACACGCACACGCACACGCACACGCACACGCACACGCACACGCACACGCACACGCACACGCACACGCACACGCACACGCACACGCACACGCACACGCACACGCACACGCACACGCACACGCACACGCACACGCACACGCACACGCACACGCACAAACACACACGCATATCGGAGGATGGTCGGGTCCAGGGTGCCAGAGATTTGTTCGGCGCGTAGCGGGCGTTACCCGGGCCAGCACCCCCCTCCCCGGGTAACGGTAACGATCGTACGTCTGGGGGGGCTTGCGCCCCACCAAGTGCTGGTGCTCGCGCGCGTATTGTGAGGATCGCAGCGCACCCCCGCCCCAACGTGTCCCACCCCGCGCATTTTTGTCTGAGTGTACCACTCTTTCTCAGTCAGTCAGTCAATCAGTCAGTCCGTCAGTCAGTCAGCCAATCTGTGTGTCTGTCTCTCTTTATTTCTCGTTCTCTCTCTCTCTCTCTGTGTTTCTCTGTCTCTGTAGCTCTTTGTCTCTCTCCCCTTTCTAGTTTCAGTTCCCTCCCCCAGCCTCGTTGTGTCTGTCTCCCTCCATTGTTTCCAGTCGCTCGGTGTCGCGTGTCTATGTCACGCATGTGTACATCTAGTGTGAGTTGCTACCACAGGCTGCTGATCCGCGTCGGCGTCTTGTAGCAACGATGGAAAAGCGCCGCGTCGTGTCGCCCGCAGCAGCTCTGGCCTGACATCCGAGCGTCGGTGTCCTTCTTCCTTGCTCCTGCCCGCTTCCGCTCCTGCTGCTTTGATATTGCCTCCTCACTGCTGCTGCTTCTACTCCTCTTCCGTGTGGTCGAGACAAGGGTTGAAGATTGAGGATTCGGGTTCTCTTCTTGTGTTCTCTCGCTGCTTTTCCCGTCAGCGCTTTGGCGCCCTCTCATAGCCGTCTTGGACGCCGTCTGAGAGTTTCTGGAGATCCATGTTGCACAACGAGGGCTTTTGAAGGTCTTGTCTTCGGGTGTGTTGCCAGGCTTTGTAGTGCATGCCTCCACCCCCTGGGAGCCTCGTCAGGTTATGTTTGCTTTTTTGTTGGTCTTCCTGAGGTTTGTAAGACACAGCGTGGTGATCGCCATAGTGGTGAACCAGGTGGATGCAGCGACGGCGACATGTTGGGTGATGATGAGGGTGACTGTGGGGATGGCACTGGTGCAGTTGTCGTTGAGGATGACATTCTATTGGGCAGGACTTTCGCTTTTTCCGGGCGCAGAACGCGCGGGGACCTGCGACAACCGCCAGGAATCTAGCGGGAAGTCTGGCGAATGCCGATCTGTTCGTCGGGAAGCTCCGATCGATAGTTGTTCTCCCGGTGCCGCTCAGGAGGAAACCTCGGAAGGAGAGCCGCGGAAACCGCCAGTCGCTGGGGGCCTGGAGGAGGCCGCCTTCAACCGTCTGTTCGCGCAGGCTCTATAGTTTTGACCGTGCTCCAGTTTCAGTTTACAGTTTTTGAATTTATCCGTAAGGGCTTCGCCCCCTGCCGCCGGCCCCCTCTCTCGGAGAATGGGCCATGGAAGAGCTAAGTCATGAGGCTTTGGCGCTGTCGTGCAGCAGTATCGGAACTTCATGCGAGGCCGATTCGCAATCGGCAAAACCAACTGATCACAAGAGGGGTTACCACACAGGGCGATTGGTAAGACGTGTATGGTTTACGAGCTTGGTTACCACACCTTGGGATTAAAGGGCCGAGGGAGTACTCGCAGTTTGGGTTACCACGCCTTGCGATGGATGTGCGTGAGGGGTGGCACCGAATTTCAGAAATGTGGCAAATCCCATGTGTTTTTGGACCCTGACCCCGCGGATCTGCGTGAGGGGTGGCACCGAATTTCAGAAATGTGGCAAATCCCCTGTGTTTTTGGACCCTGACCCCGCGGATCTGCGTGAGGGGTGGCACCGAATTTCAGAAATGTGGCAAATCCCATGTGTTTTTGGACCCTGACCCCGCGGATCTGCGTGAGGGGTGGCACCGAATTTCAGAAATGTGGCAAATCCCTGTGTTTTTGGACCCTGACCCCGCGGATCTGCGTGAGGGGTGGCACCGAATTTCAGAAATGTGGCAAATCCCCTGTGTTTTTGGACCCTGACCCCGCGGATCTGCGTGAGGGGTGGCACCGAATTTCAGAAATGTGGCAAATCCCCTGTGTTTTTGGACCCTGACCCCGCGGATCTGCGTGAGGGGTGGCACCGAATTTCAGAAATGTGGCAAATCCCTGTGTTTTTGGACCCTGACCCCGCGGATCTGCGTGAGGGGTGGCACCGACTTTCAGAAATGTGGCAAATCCCTGTGTTTTTGGACCCTGACCCCGCGGATCTGCGTGAGGGGTGTCGATTTCGAGCCCCCCCAGCAATTCAGACAACGCGCCCAGGGGACGCTAAAAGTTTTGTTTGGGCCTCCCCCCCCCTCGCGCGGTCAATCAACTAGTTACAGTAACCAGCAAGAAGTCAACTAGTTACAGTAACCAGCAAGAAGCAGAACTGTAACACTGGAAACTACAAGCTACAACTGGTACAGGAAACTGCGAACCCGCGCCTACAGCCTGGTGGCCCCACAAGGGGGCCGGCGGATTTTTATTTATTTATATATATATATAAATAAATATAGTTTTATTTGTTTTCTGAAAAAAAGTTTCAGTTTACGGTGCGAAAAACAAAGAGGAGTGCGTGTGCCCCCACCCCGCCGCCCGGAGGGCGCTGCCCGTCCGGGCCCGCGGCTCCCCCTCCATAGTCAGGGGAGGACGGCTCGCCGGAGTCCTCCCGCCGTCGTCGTCGACCGCCGTCCACAGGTGGCCGCCGCCATCCCTCCTCCTCCTCCTTCTCCTCCTCCACCTCCTCCTCCTCCTTCTCCTCCTCCTCCTCCTCCTCTCCATCACCTCCTCCACGGCCAGGCGAGCTCGGACGTGTGCATGTTTCCTTCGGCGAGGACCATCGAGGAGCATCCTGGATCATTCGGCGAAAAAAATCACGCAGGAAACCGACAAAAAGCACAGGGAATGGACGTCCGAGCGATGGCGAGATCCGGCATCGCCGCCGCCGCCGTCGTCTTAGCCTGCGACCTCATCAGTCGTCATCGCCAGCGTCGTCGGCGGCGCTCTTTCACTGCTGTCTCCCCCGTCGCCCTCGTCTTCCATCTCCTCGTCGCCACGGTCGTCGTCGCCATTGCCGTCGCCGCCTCTTTTTTCAAGGGCGCCCTCAAGGGCGCGAAGTTATTCGCGCTGCGCTTCGCGCTTCGCGGGCCGGCTCCTCCTCCTCCTCCTCCTCCTCCTCCTCCTCCTCTTCTCCCTTGGGAGGCGACGCGAGAGCGTGACGTTATTCGCACTTCGCGCTAGTGCAGCGCGAAGCGCGACGTTGGGGGCCCTTGTTTTTCCGTCGTTGAGTATTCTTATCCAACATCAAGATTGCATGTTCGGGCCCGAATGGAAGGTTTATCCATGCATGTCGCATCCTTGGCGGGCCCGTTCCCGCCATGCCTCGCCGGCGCCCCCTTCCTGTGTATCATGTCCCACCCGGGTGACGCACGAAAACGGGGTTTACTGCGCGGGTATGCGCGCGTGAGCTGCCCGCGCACAAAGGTCGCTCGCGAACGCTCTCGTTCTGCAACGGGGCGCGCCGCGCTGGCGGGCCGCGCAAGCTGCGTACAGTGGAGGCCCATGTTAAGAAGCACCCTGATTGCCTCCAGGGTGCCCAGGATTTCTTGGGTTTCCGTGGTTCTGCTATGGAGAGCGTGGAATTCCTTCAAATCCACAGACGTCCTGGGGTCTCAGGGTTGGGTTTCTGGTGGAAGGTCTTTTGTGAACCGATCTCCACTGTAAGGTCCCCATGTCCTTTGGCGAAAAAGCCCCTTCTTCTTGTCGCTCACCTGGCCCCACGTGGGGAACAATACCAGTTTGAAACATATGCTCCTATGCCTGTGTTTGGCATGACCACACCTCGATGCCGATCTTGAGGACTCCCTCAGTTTCGGAGGGCACGTCCCTAAGATTGTCCTCGCTTTTTGCTTGCCCATCCTAGGGATGGGGATCAGTTCGAGGCTGGTTGCGGCAGGGAATCCCGGGGTGGGCTGGGCGCCCCCCTCCCCCCCTCCGCGAGCCAATCCCCCGCCTGGCCCCAGGCGGGGAACTCCTGGGGTACACGGGGCGCCCCTCGACGCCCCCCCCCCACCTGGCCCCAGGTGGGAAACGGGGCATCCTCGGGTGAACGGGGCGCCCCCCCCCCCCCCCCTCGCGAGCCATTCCCCACCTGGCCCCAAGTGGGAACGGGCCGATCCTGGGGTGGACCGGCCTCTAGCCGCAGCGGGGTCGGCGGCGCTCCCCTTCAGCCGACGTGCCTCCCGCGCGGGCGTCGGGCCACAGAGACCAGGGCGGACAGACCGCTCATGCTCCCCCCAGGAGGAGGAGGAGGAGGAGGAGGAGGAGGAGGAGGAGGAGGAGGAGGAGGAGGAGGAGGAGGAGGAGGAGGAAGAGGCCCCGTCCCGCGGCGAGGTCTCCGTCAAGTACAAGCCGTACATGATCGACCCCGGGACGCAGGCGTCGGGGGAGGACGCGGCCGAGCCCGCGGCCGCCCCACGCCGGCCCCCCGCGCGGCCCCCGCGGGCCCGACCCGCGCCGGCCGGGTGTCTGGCGAGGGTGGCGAGGGGAGGTCCTCGAGGAGCATGCCTGGCAGCATGATCTGTATCCGGACCCTCCCTGTCCCGATTCTCCTCCCCTCTTCTTCCCCTCGCCACCATCACATCCATCATCTCCCCGCTAAGCTCTCCGCAGAGGCCCCAAGAAGCTCCTCGGCCGCTCTTCAGGGGCGCCGGGAGGCCCCCTGAGGTTCCAGGGCCAAGAAGTGTTCTACTTGGCTCGGGCGGGAGGACGAGTACCAATCAGACGCCGCTGTTGGGAGCCCGTCGGCGTGGCACTCCTTCGCTTCTGTTCGAAGGCCTGGTGTTTCCGTGCCGTGCTGATGAATTTCCCACGGCGTCTCATTGTCCATATGGTTTTTTCTCCCCCTGCTGGTGCCCACTGTTGGGAGCCCGCCTGCGTGTTACTCCGTTGCTTCTGTCCGGAGGCCTGGTGCTTCTTGAGCAGTCGCATGCTGGTAGTTTCCCCGTGGCGGCGTGCCATTCACACGGTTCGGGCGTTTGTTAAGGAATGTGCCCAGGAGGCTTCGGACCCTGGGGGGGTCCTTCTCTAACGAGGGCGGGGGCGGTGGTGACACCCGTTGTCGCGTCTCACTTGGTGTCTCACCGGCTTCCAGCGTGCCTCGTCCAACGGTTCCCTGTCCGATGCGCTCACCGCGTTGTCTTCGCTCCCCCACTAGCGCCCCCCCCCCCCCCCAGGACTACAAGGCCTACTGCCGCCGGCGCTGGGGCGGCGACGGCTGGACCTACTCGCTCAGGGACCGCGGGCAGGAGCTCGGTCGCCACCCGCGTTCTCCGCCGTCGTCGTCGTCGTCGTCGTCGTCGTCGTCGTCGTCGTCGTCGTCGTAGTCGTCTGACGAGGAGGATGAGGGGAGGAGGAGGAGGAGGAGGAGGAGAAGGAGGAGGAGGAGGAGGAGGAGGGGAGGAGGATGACGAGGAGGAGGAGGACGACGACGACGAGGACGAGGAGGACGACGACGACGATGACGACGACGACGAGGACGAGATCGTCGTCGTCGTCGTAGGAGGAGGAGGAAGAGGAGGAGGTGGTGGTGGAGGAGGAGGAGGCGGAGGATGAGGAGGACGAGGACGAGGAGGAGGAGGAGGAGGCCGAGGAGGATGATGATGATGATGAGGAGGAGGAGGAGGAGGAGGGCGAGGAGGAGAAGGGGGAGGAGGAGGAGGAGGCGGAGGAGGAGGAGGAGGAGGAGGAGGAGGAGGAGGAGGAGGAGGAGGTAGTTCACTTCGGGATGGGGGTCGATTGTTCGGAAAGGTGGGCGGGGAGGGGGAGGCTTGGGAGGCTGTTTATGCACCTTGTCCTGCTCCTTCTGCCATCCCCCCGTCCTGCTTCGCATCGTCTCCCTCTTCCCCCCTTTTTCTTCCCCTCCTTCGTTCCCTTCAAGCCGTTCTGGTTCATGCCTTTGTGGCGCTGCGCTTGCAAGCGCATGCTTTAGAACGGCGCGTGCTTACGAGCCCTTTGGTTTCTTTCACGTTCGCCCCACCCGCAGCGGCCTGCGGGGCATGGGGCCACCGCTCTCGATGTCCTTCTAGGCGCCAAGGCACCTCTGCGGGAATGCCCAAAGTGCGGCTGCTGGGGCACTAGGGCATAGCGTATCGAGAGCAGGTCGTGCAGTGCCAGTGCGCCGTCCAAGGACGTCCAGGCAACCCGTGCAGCGGCCGCGGCTTTGACGCCGAAAGGAACGGGGTATCGGGCACCATGGGGAGCTTGGGCAAAGGGGGCACCGAGTGGAGGAGATGGGCAGGCCAAGCTCGTCAAAGACCTACAGCACGAGTTGGTTCAGCTTGAGGGCAAGTCGCCACCATGGCACGAGCAGTCTGCCCCGATTGGCACGGGCACAAAGGAGTTGTCCAACTCGGCAGTGGTGCAGTTCCTCACGCGCGAGACCCTGGACACGTCGAGCGTCGGGAAACGGAGATGGAGAAGGCAACGTTGGCTATAGCGGCAAAGGCGCCTTCAGCGAGGACGGCTCGCTGGATGGTGGAGAGCGTGCGGGGCAAGGCCACCAAGCTGAAATCCAATATGCCGGCGGTCCGCAAGCAACGCGAAGAGCTGGAGAAGGAATTCGCGGACGGCGGCAGCACGCTGGATGCCTGCAAGTCAGACTTCGGCAAGACATAGGGGAGACTGTTCCGCTTGCAGGCCGAGGAAAACGACGACCCGATCAAGGCACTACCTGCGACCCTTAATGACAGAGCTGCCCAGTCACCGAAGGGTCTCGCGGCGCTGGCCATGCTCCAGCGCCTGCAGTCCGCAGCAGCGGAGGCCAGCCAGGTGGAAGCTGCTTCGTGTCCCGCTGCTGCCGCTGCTCTTCCTGGCGGCGCTCAGATTGTCCCGGGTGGCGGGGGCGTGCACGTGGCCGCCACCGACGGAGACGGCGTCGACGTCGACATGGATATGTTCGACGGTGACGACGCGTTCACCTCTGCCACACCGAGCTCAGGGCTGCCACCGCAGCCGAACCCGCGGTGTTGGAGGCAGCTAAGAGGAAGTACCTGGCAGCAGCGACAGCCCTTGGAGTCATGTTGGGCCTTCGCAGTGCCAGCGCGCCGTCCAGAGCGCATGCTCGAATCAGAGCTGTTTGGAAGCCGCAACGAGAGCGCGGCCACCCCTCGGGCCAAGAGGGTCAATGACGAGGGCTCCGGCACAAGACGATCTTTGTCGACGGGTGCACTTGCCGCTCCTGAGAAGACCCCGAGACGCCCTGCCAAATGACACTTATGCGAGGCTCGTGCTCGCGTGGCGAGCCCCTGGGCTAGCGCGTGGTAGTCGGGCAGAGGATCAGCGGAGGAGCGACAGAGGTCGCCGCGTGGAGTACCGGAGCCGCGGAAGGGTGAGGTACCAGGACGTGCAGCTGTTGATGATGCATGCGCGTTTTCGAGCTCGCCCTCTTCCCCGCGCGGAGCTCCACGCGGCGTCGGAGTGCGTGGTCAGGATCACCAGATCGTGACACTCGGCTTCTCCTCCCGCAGCTCCAACGTCTATCAGGGGGGGCGGTCGGAGCCGGCGGTCCACCTGCAGCCGCGGAGGAGCAGCCGCCCAGCCAGAGACAGAGCCAGGCCGCCAGTGCATCTCCGTGGTGCATCCAATTTGTTGAGCGACGTTCAAGACAGTGATCGACGTGCGTGCGGGCCAGGGGCCACATTTGTCTGGCGCGCGTCGGCCCGGCTGTCGCGGCGGGCAACCCCGCGTCAACAGTGCGCAGTAGACGCCCTGAAAACCGACGCTACCAGGCTTGTGCCTGGGGCGCCCAGCGCTGGTGGGACTTGAGCCTTGGGCCCGCCGATGCGATGGGGGGCGGGGATCGCGTGCGCTCCGCAGGTGTCGTTCTGGGCGTAGTCTCGTCGATCCCCTCGTCGGCCTTGTCGCCGGCGTGGCGGGGCAGTTTCGAGTCGCGTATCTCTGCCCGCGAGCTGGGCGCGGGCCCTCCGCCAGGCCCGATAGTGATATCCGCCTACTTCTGCGCCAGCAGGATTTGAGGAAAAGAACTTGGATATGCTTGTTTTGTGGAGCGATTTATGCGGGGGTCAGAGTCTGCAGGCGATTCAGGCCGATTGGATCTTCGGCCCGTCAGAGCTGGGGCCCCGTAGGTGGCGCGACCGGGTGCGTGGCTCAGTATTCCTGACCGGTCAGCCAACCTGCAGGCAAACCGTCGCCAGGGGCGACGTCGCTGGATCAGGTGGAGGAGATAGAGGAGGATATCGTCGCAGTGATCAGTGAAGTAATGGGGGGCAGGCGAAGGCGGCGAGAGAGCTGATTCACACTTTTGGAGCTCGGATCCTAGGACGCTGCGTCAAGGAGGTTCGATGCTTTCCAGGCGCCCCCTTCCGCCCGCGCACGCCGGTCGGCCTTGCTCGGGATGGAGTTGCCCCCGACGGGCTCACGCGCTGGCAAGCGCGCTTCAAGGGGCCCCCGCTGGAGCCGCGCGCGGGGCCCAGGATGGGGGCTCGAGGAGGAGCGCTGGTCCTGAGGGCCGGGGGTGTTGGGTCAGGTCTCGCTGCGTCTCGGGATCAAGGAATGGTTCGCTGGCTCGGATAACTGGTTGGTCGACCTCTTCGATATAGACGCCAACTCCAGGGGTGCGCATTTTGGCGGGGCCGCTGGGCCTCAGACGGCCATGGGCCCCTGGGCGCGATCTGGGCTCGGGAAGCTCGTCGTCGATATTTGAAGCTGACGGCGGCCTGGGTGTCCTTCTGGGCGCTCGCCTCGCGCACGCCCGATGTGGCGCGCGGACAGCTCGGTCTGCCAGGTCATGCGCGCCCTGACCAGTGGGCCGCCATGCTGGAGGGCGCGGCCCCCGACCCCGAGCGCCACTCCGCCCGCGCCGCGGGCCGGCCGTCTGCGTTGGGCCCGATGCGTTTCATCTCGCCGGGCAGCGAGGATGGCGGCGGGCACGCGCAGCCCCTTGCTGATTGCATGCAGGAGTTGAGAGGGCATGGCGCGATGAGGTCTCTGGGGGGCGGCAGAAGTGGGCGGTGACATCGGCGCGCGCGGGAGGGCGGGCTGCCCCTGCTTCTTCTCGCAAGACCTCGACTGGTCGCAGCTGCCAGCATTCGATCCCAGTGGGCGAAATTGCGGTTCCAGTCGGCGGCGTGGACGCCCGAAATGGGCACGGAAAGAATGGGTACGATGACCAACCGCAGTTCCTGTTCATTTTGAACAGGATTCGTCGTCCACGCCGCCGCGGCCTGTGTCCCTTTCGAGACAGAAGGCCGCCTGCCCAACAGCGGCCGCTGTTGGTTCGGGACATCATTTGTTGTCGGGCATTGTGCCCATTCTTTCCGTGCCCATTTCGGGCGTCCAAAGACGGGGGTGAGGCCGCCTGGGCCTTGATTGAGCAGAGGGTGCCGCTGTGGCCTCAGGGGGGGGGGGGGGGCGGGCCGCGCGCGCCTCTGGCAGCGGGGCGTCCGCGGCGCCACCTCGCCTCCGATCGAGCTGGGCCACCTCCTCCGGGCGCGCGGGGGATGCGCTGAGTCGGCGGGGCAACGGCGGGGCGCTTTCCATCCCGGGCTCGGTCTAAGGCTCCCATAATCGCGCCAGTTCAGGGTCCTGGACCTGCCGCGTGGCCTCGGGGAGGCCCCGGAGCTGCCATCCGACCTGTTGGCTAACGTCATTTTCCTGGGCAAGCCAGATGGAGGTGCGCGGCAAGTCGGGCTGCGGCGTTTTTGGCACGAAAGTGAGGTCGAAGTGTCGTTGACCCCTCTGCGGGAGATGGGGGTTTGAGCATCCTATTTTTGTTTGTTGATAGTTCGGGCCCTGTCTCAACGCGCGCGTGCGCAGGCTGGGCGCGCGACGCGTCGGCGCACTTTGGGCGCCGCGTTGTCGGGGGCGGCGCTGTTGGATTTTTAAAAAGTTCCACGAACACATTGCCCACCAGGGTTTGCGTCGAGCCGCGATCGAGCACAAGTTTCATTCGCGCCTTCTGCGCGGGTTGTGCGCGATGCACGCAGCAGAGCGCGCGCGGCGCTGCGGGGGCTGTCCCGGGGGCGCGGGTGGCGCGTGCAGGGGTGATTGCGGGGTGCTCAGCGTCGTCGTCGCTGTCCAAACTATTGCCGTCGAGCCCTCTCGCCCGAGTCCAGCGCGGGGGGGGCCCAGCTCGCCGTCAGAAGCGCGATAGAGTACATGGCGATGCAGATCGTCGCCCCGCCAGATGTCTCGGTCTCGCAGCGGGCGGGCGGCGCGGAGGCCCTGCTCGCCAGCTTCTAGCAGCTCGGGCTGCCAGTTTTTTGCAAGTCGAAGTACCTGCGCAGCAACTCCGAGCTGGGTGAGAATCTGCACAAGGCTCGGGCCATTTACGCAATCGGCCGCGCGACCTCAGGCAGGATCCTGGGGACAGATGCGACCCCAGGTGCTGTCGGGCGCGTCGAGGCCACTGGGCCCAGGCGGGGAGGGGCGCTCGGTCGCGCCGAGGGAATGCGTCGACGTCAGGGGGTCTGGGGCAGGTGGGCGGCCCCGACGGCCTCGGCTCCGGCGCGGCAGGGATGTCGCTGTCGAGGATGCAGGCGCTTCGGCTTGCAGCCCCGGGCAGTCCGGGCCACGGATTGGGGTTCCACGGCCGCAAAGTGGGCCCAGGACCTACCCGTTCATTTTGAATGTTGGCTAGGTCGTGCTCCAGCGGGCGCGGGCTGTCTGGGGGGTTTCCCCGAAGCGCGGTGCATTGCAGTCGTGCCTGCGGGGCGCGACGGCCAGGATCTCGAGTTTGAAGGCCCCGTGGGCGACCGCGGCGACGCCGGCTGAAGTTGTTTTGGGAAGTATGCGCGGGATCAGGTGGTGGCTCGAGACTTGCGACGCACTTGTCACGGACCAGGGATAGATGCGGGCGCTGGGAAGGCCGCCCCCGCGGCGCAAATCAAGTTTCTTGCCGAGGAAGGTGCGCTGCGAGCATCAGATCGACGAGCTCTCGCGTCACGGGGGCCCACTGCGCCCTGGTGTAAGCAAGTTTTTCTGGGGCGCGCTGGGGCCTCTCCTGCCTCGAGTCGCGACGGCCGAGGGCTGGGCGAAAAGGCGCCAGAGGTTCCTGAGGTCGCCTATCCAGGGGCGCCACTGGCCGCTGTGAAACGCGGCCTGGCATTGTCTGGGGGCTGTCAGAGATGCGGGGGGCCTGGCGGGTCCGGTTGGCGCGGGGCTTGCCGCCGCCCTGCCCTGGAAGTATTTGGGCGGGAACGTGCGCCGGCATCCATGGGCATTCGTGCAGCTGGGGTCAAGGGCTGGGACTTCGATCCGAGGTGGGGGGGAGGTTCGCGCGGGGGCTCTTCCCGGGCCCCGTGGGGCTGCTGGGGGCCCCCGAAGAGCCTGAGCTGGGTGTGTTGCCCGGGATTGTGCTCGCAGAAGGCTCGGCCCCGTGGGCTGAATGCCCCCGCCTGGCCTGCGCGGGCTGGGCGGTGGCCCAGGTGGATAGGGTCGGGCGAGTCGAGGCCGCTGCAATAGGGCAGGCTCCGGTTGCGGCCGATCCCTGACAAGCGGCGAGAGACGCTGGGGACCATGCTATCAACGTGACGACGCAAGTAGCTCTGCCCCCCTTGGCGGGGGGGGGCGGAAGAGGGGCGGAAGGGGGGCGGCGGGAATCAGCGCGGGCATGGTTACGGTCGTCGGACAGTGGGATGCGCATAGCGGATGCCCACTGCGCGCGCCGACGCAGACGCGGGGTTCGCCTGGGAGCGGGGGCAGCGCGCGAGCAAAACGGCTGGCGAGCTCGCCGGGAAAAGAGCGGCAGCACTTGGCGCTGGCCAAGCTCGCCATGATTTCAGGCGAGGCCTGGGTGAGCGCGCGCGGGGGGCGGGCGCTTGTGGCGAGGGGGCCGCGCGCTCGGGCGGTTGGGCAGGGCCGCGAGGATGTCGCGGGGCTCTACCTCGCCCAGCGCCAGAGCCAGTCTCCTCCTCATGCCGAAGGCCCCGCCAGCCCCAACCTTCAGCCCGACCAGGGGCCGCCTAAGGATTCTGGAGCTCTTGGGGCGGGGGATTTTGAGTTGTCGGTGGGGTTTGGGTGGGGGTTTTCTCCTTTAGATTTCAGGTGGAGGCAGCGCCTGTTGCTCCGGGCCGAGGTAGATGGCGCAAATCCCCAAGTCAAGCTTCTCCTTTCCTGCTGCCGTTGCGGGGCAGTGAGCTCCGTCAGTCAGCTGACGGCGACGACTTCTGATTGGTATTCCGGCCGTGGGGGTGAAGGCGCCCGAGACCAGTTGCGACGAGTTTGCACAGGAGAGTTCCCCCAATCCACAGCATTGGGTCAGGCGTTTGCTTCTTTCCCGCCTGCGCGGGGCGTTGCCGGCAGTCACGGAGAGAGAGAGAGAGAGAGAGAGGGAGAGAGAGAGAGAGAGAGAACGAGAACGAGATAATCAGAGAAAGGGAGGGAGGGAGGGAGGGAGGGAGGAGGGAGAGAGGGAGAGAGAGTGAGAGATAAAGAGAACATATTCATAATGATAAAGAACTACCAAAGACATGCACATATATATATATATATATATATAGAGAGAGAGAGAGAGAGAGAGAGAGAGAGAGAGAGAGAGAGAGAGAGACAAAGTCATGGCACGCACAGAGATCGAGAGAGAGAGAGACAGAGAGAGAGAGAGAGAACGAGAGAGAGAGAGAGATAACACAACAACACATATATATATATATATATATATATACATAGAGAGAGAGAGAGAGAGAGAGAGAGAGAGAGAGAGAAAGAGAGAGAGAGAGAGAGAAAGAGAGAGAGAGAGAGAGAGAGAGAAAAAAACAGAGAGAGCGATACAACAAACAACATAGCAGAGCATGCAGATGCAAGCTGGTGCGGCGGCGGCCCCCGCCAGCGACACCGCCCTGCATCGGTCAACTTGGGGGCGGGATGCTCGAATCTTTCTGCCTGTCGGTAGAGGACCGCCCGCGATTGCTGTCGATGGGTCGGTAAGCGATCCAGCGAGCGCTGGTCGCCCCTGCGGACCCCGGTTTTGAGGAGGTTCGGACGAGGGTGGCTAGTTTTTCTTCGACTTGTTCATAGGGCCAAGCCAAGCCAGGCCTTCTTTCCCATCTCGACCCCTTTACTTCCTCCTCGTCCTCCCCGGAGGATGTGAGCATATACCAATCAGCGAATCCATCGACGAGTGGCCGCCGACGAGGTTTCTACCAGCCTGGTGTTCCTTTCGCCTCCTCGCTCCCCTCCCTCCTCCTCTTTGCTTGGTCGTGGTGCTCGGTGATGGCGCAACTGGTATGGTCTCGCACCCGGGGTCACCACCCGCCGCGTGCCGCTCACTGTCCGGACGCGCACTCGGCGAAACCGCTCGTCGCATCATCGACCCCTTTCCCCTTTTCCTTCTGCTCCTCCCACTCCTCCTGCCGCCCCCCCCCTTCCCCTCTCCTCCCGCCCCTCCCTTCTCTTGCCGTGCCGCTCCTCCTCTTCCTCCCCCTCCCGCCCCCTTCCCCTCCCGTTCCTCCTCCGCCCGCTCCTCCCGCCACTCCCCCTGCCCTTCCCGCCCCTCCCACTTCTCCTCCCGCCCCTTTTGCTCCATCTCCCGAGCCGGGGAGGCCCGTGGGGCGCGCAACCCCCCCGCGCCCGCGCCGCCAGGTCTGCCCTTCGGGCAGTGGGATTATTGGCCGAACACCCTGAACGCCCACCGCGTCTGCGCGTACCTGGAGGACGCGGGCCCGCTTGAGGCAGGGAGGGATGGAGGGAGTGAGTGTCGCGGGAGGGGTTGGAGGGGGAGGACAATGCGTAGGATGAGGAGGAGGACGGGGAGGGGGCGGAGGAGGAGGAGGAGGAGGAGGAGGAGGAGGAGGAGGAGGAGGAGGAGGAGGAGGGGAGGGGGAGGAGGGAGGAAGAGGTGAAGGAGGCGGCGGAGGAGGGAGGAGGAGGAGGAGGAGGAGGAGGAGGAGGAGGAGGAGGGAGGAGGTGGAGGAGGAGGAGGAGGAGGTGGAGGAGGAGGAGAGGAGGAGGAGGAGGAGGAGGAGGAGGAGGAGGGAGGAGGAAGAGGACGAGGAGGAGGAGGAGGAGGAGGAGGAGGAGGGTGGAGGAGGAGGAGGAGGAGGAGGTGGAGGAGGAGGAGGAGGAGGAGGAGGAGGAGGAGGTGCGGCTATCGGTGCAGCAGCGCGTCCTGATGCCCGCTGGCGCGTTCGGGCTTGGGGTGCGCGGCGTGCCCGGGGGCGGGGCGGACGTCCTCGCCGGCGCGGTTTCGCACCTCGAAGCGCGCGCACCGCGCACGGTTTGCGCGCAGGGCGGCGCCGAGCTCACGGGCGGCTCCTGGCCCTCAGATCGGAGGAGGGCGACCTGAGACATCTGTCAAGGGCAGAAAAAAAACGCCCCTACCCTGGTTTACGAGGCGCTGTGCGCTGGACCTCCTGTGGGCTGACAGGGTAAACCCTGCGTGATGTGCCGCGTCCTGGCGGCTCTAGGCTTTGGGGGTTCCCAGGGGGCGTCCAGACCACGCACTTGTAACCCAGGGTAGGGTCGTTTTTTCATCCCTCAAATCTGGGGGCGTCCAGGAGGGGGGTGGTTAGCAGGGGGGGTTCATTCACACGGCTTGGCCCAGGGGTGGTTAATTATTAGGGGGGGGGTTATTAGGGGGGGTTCTTCGGGGGGGGGTTCTTGGGGGGGGGGTTCTCCTCGGAGTTCATTGCCCCCTCGTCTTCTTTCAGGGCGTTCCGTTCCGCCCTCCTGGGTCGCGCACATGCCGCTGGCCATGATCTGCGACCCCCCCCCCGTGGACGCCATCCACTTGGCGGCTCCCGACGACAGCGGCAGCTGGCCTTCAGGGGGCTTCCTCGTCGCCACGGCCAGACGCAGCTCAGAAAACTGATGCGTCTGGGCCCCACCAGGACGTGTCCGGCGACCGTTTTTGGGGCTGCCGTTGTGCCAGCTCGCCTTGCTGCCGGACGTGGCCTTCGGCGGCCCCGTCGGCGCGCCCAGGGGCTGGGGAGGAGGAGGCCTTGTCAGAAGGCGGCTTGGCTTCTCAGAAGCCCCCTGGCCTCCTGAGAGCTTCTTTTTGTGCCCTCGGGGAGGGCCCCCGGGGGGCTTCCGAGCCTTCTGAGAAGGCCCGCCTCTTCGCACTTCCCCCCCCCTGGGTTCGCCGCCTACTCTCGGCTTCCCCTCTGGGGTCCGAGCGGATGGGGTCGGAGGATCGCGCCGCCTCGCCGAGGCATCGGCAGTGCGGCTCGGAGTGGAGCCCGCTCCTCTCCGCGCCGACGTCGCCGACGCATCGCCGACGTCGCCGACGCATCGCCGATGCAGTCGGCGATGCGCCGGTGATGCGGCGCGATCCCAAGGAGCTCCGCCGGAGGCCCCAGTGGCTGCGTTCGCTTGGGCGTTGCGTAATGGGGGGGTCATAAATGGGGGGGTGGCGAGGGTGGTCCGAAAAGGTACCCAAACGGTACCTAAACGAGCCCCCTGGGGCTCCGGAGGGGCCCGAAAGGGGCACGAAAGGGGACCGCTTCTGACCCCCCCATTTATGACCCCCCCATGAAGCCACGCCCAATTCGCATGGCGTCGCCGCGCCCACTGAGGCACACCCATCACACGCTTCTGGGCTCCGCAGGGAGCTCCGCGCCCCCTCCGGCAGCGCCCGCGCGGCGGCACCGCCCCATTGTTGGCAATCCCCATCACGCGCTTTTTTGGCCGCGTGGGGAGCTCCCTCCCTGCGTGTCGCGTGCCCTGCGGTACTCACGCCTGCATGTGGCTCGAGTAGGAGGTCGACGATGTAATGGATTTACACATGTTTGTCGCACATACAATCGAATGTTCGACGATAAAAAAACAAAGTCGGGGTACGCCAATTCTGTAGTAGATTTCGTACTCGAGGGGTTTGGGGGGTCCTTCGTGGTGATACTTTCGAATCTTGCTGGAGATTCGATGGGCAAACCCCCGGCATCCACGAGGACGGCCCGCCGCCGTCGCTTCGTGCCTTCGGCTGTCCGGGCCTGCCCTCTACACGGGAAAGGCAGCGGGAGGTGCCCGTGCAGCCACTGTCCCATGGGGCAGGCCAGGGTGTGATCGTGGCCGTGCGCGGGGCGTTCCAGACGGGGCCTCCTCCGTCGAGCAGCCCGAGAGCGACGTCTCCTCCTCGGGGGAAGGAGAAGCCTCCTCCTCCTCCTCCTCCTCCTCCTCCTCCTCCTCCTCCTACCAACACCACCAGGGGGGCCACCTTCAGCGAGGAGGTCCTCCGCGAGCTGGGGGCAGGGGGGACGCCTCGAGCGAGAGGGGGGGGGGGGGCACGCCACCCGGGGGGACCGCTCTGGCCCCTCCTGCTCGTGGTCCCTGGTGGTGGTGGTGGTGTCGCTTTTCCTTGCTCCGATCCTTGCCTGCGGAGGGCGGCGCAACTCCCGCGGAAGGCGGGCGGAAGCAACACGAGAGCCGCTCCTCGGGCGGAGGCCAGCGAGAACGTCATCTGTTTCGGAATACATGCAAGCAGGGGAGGGCGACCTCGAAGTGATTCGCATGCCGAGCGGCCACACGATGAGGGCGTTTTGGCCCGGACTAGTATGGACTGGGACAATTGGTTCCAGAGCTTTCCGTCATGTTCTCAGAGCTATCTGGAGCGCTATGACACGGCCGCGGCGGCCGATATTTCCTCCAGAACCGCCGGACCTCAGAGATCCCGATCGGTCCTGGTCCGACGTTGTCCCGGTCCTGGCTTGTTTGAGCGTAGGGTGAACACGATCGCTGGCTTCCAAGAAGTCTTCCCGGGAGCTTCTGGGGCATTCTCAGAAGGAAGGCCCCGGCCTTCTGAGGGACCCCGAACAAGTGTGATAAACAACTCACAAGTGTGATAAACCAACAAGCGTGACAAAGAACAAGTGGGAGAACCAAGTTTTTTGTTGAAGCAGAAAAGCAAGCAAGGAGCATCTACGACTTGTGTTCTTACACTCTTTTCTAACCACGCGTGCTTTTGCTATCAGACCTGGTCCGAATCGTTCAAGGCCGCCCCCCCCTGGCGCCCCCCCCCCCGTCGTGCGCGCCGCCAGCGCGAGGCGGCCCCCGGGGCAGCCTTGCGACATGCTTGCCCCGCCCGCGGGCGGCGCGCGCCGAGTGTCGGGCCGGGCGAAAGGGGGGGATTGGGAAAGGGGGGGTTACGAAATTTGCTGCATGCAGCTAGTTTCGGCCTCACCGAGGGGCCCATTCCTCGATACATAGCCGCCTCCGGCGCCGGGAGGCGCCGGGAAAATCAGCTACGTGAGCTGATTCTCAAACCCCCCCTTTGCTATCCCCCCCTTTCGCCCGACCCGAGAGTGGCCCCGGGGAGCGCCCGCCGCCCCGCCGCTCCGGGGCCCCGGAGAGCGGTGCCTCGCCCGCGCCTTGCCGCCGCGCGCCGCGTGCTGCTCCCTCCCGCCGCCTCCGCCGCCTCCGCCGCCGCCTCCGCCGCTGGAGTCGCGCAGGGCCCCCGGGGTCGGGGGTCCTGAGCTCGCCGCCGGAGGCGCAGGGACCCCCGTGCCCGCGCGGGCGCTCGCGCGCGCGCGCGCGCCCCCGTGGCAGCCAGCTGCCGCTTCGTCCGAGGCTGGTCCGCCTGGGGCCGCGCGCGCGCGCGCGGCGCGCGGGCGACCAGGGGCCGCGTGGCTCGGCTCGCGCCCCCCAGGCACGCGCCCATCCACGAACAGCCTCCGCCGCCTCCCCTCGGGCTCGGGGCGCTGCAGTCCTGCGCGCGTGGTGTTCTCGCCCGGCTTCGGGCCCCCTGGGCCAGCGCGGCTCGATGCGGCTCGAGGCATGCCGCGGCCGGGTGCGGGGTGTCTCACGGCGTTGCAATGTTCTGGCAGCGTCGGATCTGAGGGTCGTGCTCCTCGTCCTCCCCCTCGTCCTTCTGCAGCGCTCGGCCAGCACGGGGTGGGTGCGAGCGCACGGCCTGGCAGCAGAGATTCCGTGATGAGATGCCGCTTGCTCTGCGGGCACGTTCGATGGACTTGCATGTGTGGACAGTCGTGGTATCGCCCTCTGTCTTCTCCGAAGTTGCGCTGGGAAAGCATGTCTCGTGTGTCGTGCCTTCTTGCTCTGGTACGTCTAGGGCAGCTGTCTCCTTCTCTTCGTCCGTCGGGGGCGGGGCGCGGGACGCGACAAGGAGCGAGACCAAGCCGACGATTCACTGGGCGAGAAGGAGACCCCGTGACGCGCCCAGTCCAGATTGGGCTGGTGCTGCGGGTGCGAAGCCTCGACGGAAGAAGCAGCCTAAACATGCGCTGCCGGAGCCCGGCGCGGATTTCACGAATCGGCTCTGGCGCACCCTGGCGGCGCTTCCGGCGCTGCCCCTGGCGCGCTCAGCGGGGCCAGCGTCGATTCAAGAAATCCGCGCTGAGTTCCCGTCTTATTTCCAGGGAAGAAAGACCACCCCGACCCCGATGCCAGGCGTTCAGTGAACGGTTCTGGGCGTTTGCGACACAGCCCTGTCCTGTTCGATTGATTCCTCCCCTGGGTGCGTTTACGAAACTTCTTCGCCTGTCGGGGTGCTGGTTCTGAGAGTCGGTGTTCTGTTCTCTACAGTCAACCAGTATCGTAAATTAACAAGTTTCCAAAATAATCATTGCATCCTTCCCTTTCGGCTCATAGTTGGCCGCTTCCGCTGGCCGCGCCCCGCTCGCAAAGTGTTGACATGGCCTTCCAAGGCCCTTGCATCCTTATTGTGCGTCTTTGTTGTGACTGGTCAGTTTTGTTGTTGTTGTTATTGTTGTCGTTGTTGTTGTTGTTGTTCTTGTTGTTGTTGATGTTGTTGTTGTTGCTGCTTTCGTTGTTCGTGTTGTTGTTGTTGTTGTTGTTGTTGTTTCTGCTGCTGCTGCTGTTGTTGCTGTTGTTGTTGTAACTGTTGTTGTTGTTGTTGCTGTTGTTGTTGTTGTTGTTGTTGTTGTTGTGTTGTTGTTGTTGTTGTTGTTGTTGTTGTTGTTGTTGATGTTGTTGTGTTGTTGCTGTTGTTGTTGTGGTTGTTGTTGCTGCTGCTGCTGCTACTGATGTTGTTGTTGTTGTTGTCGTTGTTGTTGTTGGTGCTGGTGTTGTTGTTGTTGTTGTTGTTGGTGTTGTTGGTGTTGTTGTTCTTGTTGTTATTGTTGTTGTTGTTGTTGGTGGTGTTGTTGTTGTTGTTGTTGTTGTTGTTGTTGTTGCTGCTGCTGCTGCTGTTGTTGTTGTTGTTGTTGTTGTTGATGTTGAACATTATTCCTTCTAAAGAATTATTATTGTTGGGACCCCTGGTGCGCGACCTCTGCGCCGCGCCTAGGCCGCAGCTACATTTTCATCATTTTTTCGCGAAAGCTTCAGAAAAGTGGATGAGCTCCGGATCCGGTTTTTTGTTGACGCTCGTTTTCCCTTGCAAAAAACACTAGAAAATGAAAATTCTTGTTCTTACTTGATCAAATTGCAAGAATCCCTTGCAAAAAATAAGGTAAAGTGGACATTCGCGCGCGCAAGACGAAATCCTTCCAAAACCTTAGGTTTCCCAGCGATTTTAACATAAAAACATCAAAAACCCAATGGTTTTTTAAGAAAAAATGGTCAAAATGTCCTTCCGCGCGCGCTGTCCGAATCCCACAAAACCAATGGTTTTTCAACATTTACGTTACATGAGCTCGCGCGAGCTACTTTTTCTTGTTCTAACATAATCAAATTTCAATAATCCCTTGCAAAAAATAAGGTAAAGTGGACATTCGCGCGCGCAAGACGAAATCCTTCCAGAACCTTAGGTTTCGTAACGATTTCAACATAAAAACATCAAAAACCCAATGGTTTTTCAAAAAAAAATGTCCAAATTTCATCCCGCGCGCGCTGTCCGACTCCCACAAAATCAATGGTTTTTCAACATTTGTGTTACATGAGCTCGCGCGAGCTACTTTTTCTTGTTCTAACATAATCAAATTTCAATAATCCCTTGCAAAAAAAATGTAAAGTGGACATTCGCGCGCGCAAGACCAACAAAAAACACGACGATCTCAGGAACTTGCCCCAAAAATGTGACCAACTCCGCTCTCTCTGTCTCTCTCTCTGTCTGCTCTCTGTCTCTCTCTCTGTCTGTCTGTGTCATGTATTGTATGTCACAATTGCAGGATGCTGGGCACACGCGCGCCCCGAATAAGTGACCAAGTTCTGTGGGTGTGTACCCCACGCCAGTGTAGTAGCCACGGTCGTCCGCACGCCACGAAGTGAAGTGTCCCAACGTCATAGGGCGGGAAGCTGGGTTTGGGTGGTCGCGAAGAGTCGTTTGGATATTTGGTAGAGCTTGAACTGCCCCCCCACGAATGGGGGTATTGTCTCGCGTCGCATGAAAACCCTGGCACTGGTGAGAACACTGAGCGTTCGGGTAAAATGATTGTTGTTGTTGTTGTTGTTGTTGTTGTTGTTGTTGTTGTTGTTGTTGTTGTTTCTTCTTCATCCTCATCTTCATCCTCATCATCATCTTCATCCTGTTCTTCTAGAGCGGGGGGGAAAGAGGTCTTGGAGTGTTCTCGCCGTTCTCGGCCTCGCGTGGCCCTCCCAGGGCCTCGGGGCCGGCCGAGAAGGACTCGGGACGGGGAGCTGGTCTCGGGGAAGCAGGGGTCTTGTTGGGACCCGTTGGGGAGGCAAGGGCACCCACGCCGCTGCCCCTGCCTCGTTGTCCCCCTCCGTTGGCCTCCCGGGAGGCCCTCGCTGCCCCCGCGGGATTCGCTTCGGAGTTCTGGTCAGAGCGCACCCTGGGAGAGGTCCTGGGAGCAGCGGCTTCGTGGGCCCCGGAAGCGGCAGGGCCGTTTTTTTTGCCGTTTTCGAAAAGGTGCAACAAGACCACTGAAGCAGCAACAGAAAACTGCGACCAGAAACGGTCAACAAACTGCTCCGGGATTGGAACCGGAATTGGAACTGGAAAATACAAGGGCGACGGAACTGGCAACACGAAGAGAAAAGGATACGGAACCAGTAACACATCGGCAAAACGGAACCCGTAAAACAACGGCCCTGTCGTTTCCAGGGCCCACTAAGAGCAGCGGTAATGGTACCTTTTGGTTTCCCCATTTCTTTCAGGCCGAGTTGCTGCTGTTCTTGTGGAGCCAACGAAATCAGATGAGTCTGGAGCCGAGGGAGGGAGGCATTGGGAGGAGAAGGGCACGCGGCGGAGGGCTGGCCAGGGGCAATCTTAGGGTGGGATAGGCTCAGCGGGCATGTCGGACGGGGCTAGGACGAGGATGACTCCGTTCCAGAGCGTTCCGGAACGCTCTCAGAGCGTGCCGGAACGCTCTGGGAAGGCCGCGGCGCCCGAGGCATCCTCCAGAGCCGCCGGGTCTCGGAGATTCTGGATTTGTCCGTGTGTGGTTTTAATATCGTTTTGGCTTCGTCTTGGTACGCATCGATCTCCAATCGCGCATTCACCGCCGAGGGGGGCCCGATGTCGGCGTCAGCCCCACATGCTTATGCTATATGTGTGTCGCCCCCTCAGGAGCGACGCGCGCACCGAGAAATCTTGTGGTATGCGTGTCGTGGCGGGCACTGTCTGGCCACACCGCTCGGGAAACGGTGTACTACAAGATAGGTACTCCAGATTTCGTAATAAAAGGGAGGGGGTCTCAACCCTCCCAGACGAGAAGTTTTAGACCCCCCCCGTGGGAGAACCCTCCAAAACATCGTCCCCAGACCCCCCCAGGCCCTCCAAGATAGCCTGGAAGAGACCCCCCCCCGAAACGAGACCCCCACTCCCTTTATTACGAAATCTGGAGTATACTGGATGTTTGGGTCGGACGCGCGCCTCCATGGGTGTGTTCCCGTGCGTCCCATGACGGCCCACCCCGCCCAGGAGCGTGCGGCTTGGCCGCCGGGGGCCCGCCGATCTGTCGTCGACGCGTCACCCGTGCCAGGTCGACGCGCTCCCCCCCCGTGGGCCAGTTTCCCCCCTGTCGCCCCCCCTCCAGCGGGGGGATGGCGTGGAGGGGGAGGAGGAGGAGGAGGAGGAGGAGGAGGAGGAGAAGGCGGAGGAGGAGGGAGAGGAGGCGGAGGAGGAGGGAGAGGAGGCGGAGGAGGCGGAGGAGAAGGCGGAGGAGGAGGAGGAGCAGGAGAAGGAGGAGGAGGAGGAGGACGAGGATGAGGCTGCGGAGGAGGAGGAGGGGGAGGAGGAGGAGGAGGAGGAGGAGGAGGGGGAGGAGGAGGAGGGGGAGAAGGACACGCTAGGTGCGCTCGCGTCATATCTGACATCCCACCCCTCCCTCCCATCCCTTACCCTGGCGCAGATCCCCTCTCTACTCGCACAGTCGGATGTCGAGCAGGATAATGATCCCGAAAGGGTACGCGATGCATGGTAGAGCACGGCATGGCATGGCGTAGAAGAGCACCGCGAAGCGTAGCATCAACCTAGCATTGAATTGCATGCCGTGGCATGGCACGGGAAATAACGCCAGCGCTGCAGCGGGAGCACGAGTCGAAACGAGCGGAAGCGCGGAAATGAGGCCAGCGCTGCAGCGGGAGCACGAGTCGGAACGAGCGGAAGCACGGAAATGATGCCAGCGCTGCAGCGGGAGCACGATTCGGAACGAGCGGGGCCCGAAAATGAGAGCGGCGCCTCAGCGAGAGCGGCATTTTGGAAACAAATGCAGGCGATAACCCAACTCCGGGGAAACCTGTGTGTAAAGAACAGTACGCGGGTGGGGGTCGAACACTTTCAAACCGTCATCAGGGGAAGAGGGAGAGTAGTATTCATATTGAGTAATTGTGGAGGTGGAGGAGGAGAAGGTTCCTCCTCGCCTTCCCTCCACCCGCTCCTTTCTCGCAGTCGTCGCCGTAATTAGGCGCCGCCCGTCCCCCCCGTCGCGGCAGAGCTGCGTCGGCGGTTCCCATCTTGAGAGACGGCCACGACAATTGGAGGAAGCAGCGAGGGTGGAAAGCGCAGGTGAAGGGCATTACAGTAATCTCTTCTCCTGAGAACCCCCCTTGCCAAACGGGGTTTCAATCATTCTTCCAATGCGACAACGAATGCGCAAAAGCTGTCCCAGTGTCTTGGCGCTGGCGTTTCTCAATTATCGCGACGAATGGCCATTCACCTGCATCTCTTCCGAAATGTTCGCCAACATATTCGCGGCCTAACTTTGAGCAAATCTTTCGCTCAGTTCGATCGTCAGTGCATCCGCCAGCATAAGTTGTTGAGTGCAACCGCCAGGA